TTCTGGGATATACATCAAGAAGGCTTGACCAGAACTTATTAGTTAAATCTGCTGCTCCTTCACTAAGGGCCCCTGTGTAAGACATATATTTTTTAAAATTGAGAAAAATTAGAATATCTGTAATTGTAGTGCCTCTTTGCCAATATCTTTTGAGAAAATGCTTTCATGCTGTCATGTACTTGGAGTATACTTTTTCTACAAAACTTGGGACTGCCGATTTATATCATTAAATCTATGGAAAAGTCCCACTGTGTAATCTAACTGGCAAAGCCAGTCTACACTGTCGAATATATCCTTCAGACGTACTTTCCTTAGAACCTGTCTGACTCTATTTGTCAGTAGAAGTACGATATCGCATTAATGGGCATTTTAAGGAGTATCGTTAAATCACAGAAAATTAAGAGATGTCTCCAGTGAGATCAACATTAAAATGAGGTGACCTCATGCAGTCATTTATCTATTTTATAGTCACTTTTTAAAAACAAGTCACTAGGTGATCGTTATTAATTTGCAACCTGCAATGCAATAGCTACCATGGTATGCCACGTACAGTTATAAATAAATGTGAGGATGTGTTGGCTTTTAGGAATGATAAAATAAGAATTGAAAAGAAATCACATTAGTTTCAATAGCCATCGGGGTAGAACGCTTCCGACGAATGTCATAAGGCAGACTGGACCACTGAGGCTCTCTGGGTAAGGCCACCAGGCTGAGCATTGCTGGTGGAACAAAGCCACCACCTGTCAGGCAGGGTCTCCTGATGATAGAAGTATAACCCTTCCAGGTGTCAATCTAAGACTTTGGAAAGGATCTGAAAAACAGGATTCTGCTATGCAAATATCTAAACTCACTTGGTGAGGCAGGAACTGCCGTGCACTGACCACCCCTACTCCAGCCCACGCACCTCCCCTGGCTGGAGGGAGAGGGTTTTCAACGTTTTCCAGACGTAACTGGGACTAGAGTGAGGCATGAGGCAAGTCAGACACTCTCCTTTCATGCAAAATTTAAGAGGGGTTTCCCAAAACTCATTAATCAACATAAATAATATTCAATGCAATATTTTTGAAATCAAAATTAATGCAAAAAGTATTCTATGATGAATAAAACATCAAAACTGTAAGTAAAGTCAGGATCCCATCCTACATGGGCGCAACTCACCTCACTCACTTCCCCTCAGGCCCGGTCCTGGTTTCAGGGGTGAGGTGGGTGCCAGGGAAGATGTAGAACCAGAGTCCTGCTCCTTCATCCTGCTCTGGACCCCTCCCGTGGAGCCCTTCCCTGGTCTCTGCCTGCCTCCACCTCTGAGCTCCAGCCCTTTCCTAGGCTTCACCTCCTTCTACTACTGGCCTCTGCTGCCCCCTACTGGACTCTCTCCTTCGGGCTGCACTCCAGTCAGTGGATTGGGAGAGTTGTGTGTTAAAGCAGTTGAAATTTTCCAATTCTAGGCTGGCCCCACCCCATGTCCAAAAAGACTGATCCTCCCTGGTCTCTGGCTGGTCCTGGTAAGTCCCAGGACACAGTCTTTACACCAAGTTGCTGTGTGTCTTAGGAAAGAAACTCTCCCTCTCTGTGCCTGTTTCTCATCAGTAAAAGAGCTAGAAGATGGCTGCCAAGTCGGTGAGTCTGTGATATCTACAGAAGCAGCAGGATTCTTTCCCCATTTTCTGTGTTACTAAAGGATCTGGGATCTTCAGGGTTCTTGAGGACCCCTCAGAGGGGGCTCAGGAGCCACAGAGCCAGATCTTGACTCAGAACTCAAAGAGATTCCAGAACCTTTATCATCTCCCTAGATAGATACTTTGTCACCCTCTGCCTCAAACCCCCACCCTGAGGCACCAACATTGATATGCTCAAGATGAAATGAGAAGGACCAGCAGGTTGAATTTGGGGATAGAGGGGAGCTGGGGAGACTGGGCCTAAGAGAAAAGAGTCCACAGTAGCCACAGGCAGCGTCTCTGTGGCCTGTGGGATAGAGAGTGGGCAGGAGACTGGTCAGCAGGAGGCAGGGGGTACCCTCTGACACAGAGCAGGCAGAAGTGACTAATTAGGGACACAGCCCTCCGCTCCAGAAAAGAAGGGCCAGGGAAGGATGCAGAGGAGCCAGGGACACTGAGTAGCAGGTCCACTGAGCCGAACAGCTGGAACTAGACTCCTCTGGCCAGGCCTGAAACCAGCCCTTGGCACATCTGAGTCCAGGGAGGGGGCAGAAGGCAGAGCTGGGCGAGCCAGAGCTGCAGCTGCACCAGCTGGGAATGCTCAGCCTATCCCTCGAGGGTCCCCAGGGCCCAGCCAGACCTCGATTTCCGACTGTGGCCACCACAAGAGGATGTGGCCTGTGGCGATGTCTGCCCAGAGGCAATGGCAGGTGTGTGGGTGGGGGAGGAGGAGCAGCTGGGGAGGCTGCATTTAGGTACAGCCTTCTTTTCCCCAAGACCTGGAGCTGTCCCCTGGGGGGAAGCATGCCTCTGGCCCCTGGGCAGTGGGTGAGTGTCGCATCCACACCCGGGTACTGGGAGAGAGCAGCTTTAGCCTGGACTCCAGTGCAGACACTACCCCAGTCCCTCAAGCACTAGGAGCAAAAGGTCAAAGGCAGGAGTGGGACGAACACTACAATGGGGAGAAGCTGGACTGGATCTGGGGCCTCCCAGGGGCTCCCCCCATACCCTTCATGACATCTGTTAGGGCACCCACACCCCGTTACTATTCGGTGCCTTGCCTGTCTTCATAGCCGGGGATGTGTGTGTGTGTGTGTGTGTGTGTGTGTGTGTGTGTGTGTGAGAGAGAGAAATCCAGCCCTCAGCACTGAAGACTTATCCCTCGGAAGTTGTCTAAGCAGTGTTTGCAGGGTGGAAAGATCCAGCCTGGAGTTCCTTGAAAGCTGCTTTGATGAGTTTGGTCAAACCATTAAGTCCCAGTCACCATCATCCACTTCATCTCTTTCTTCCTCCTCATTATCATCATTATCAAGAACTGTGGAGGGTCTGAGATTTTTACTCTACTTGCAAGCTAAAAAAGTAAGCCTGTCACAGACTCCCAGATGCTGGCAAAAGACGCAAGACTCCTGGGTCAGGGACAAAGACCACTTTATTACTCACAGTTTATTACTCGAGTAGCCTGAGTATCAGTATCATTAAGAATATCAGCTGAAATAGCATCTTCTTGCACCGGTTCTCTGAGTCCCTTAGGGTGATGTAAAGAGGGGCAGGTGACAGCTGAGCATCCAAGCTTGGGAACTCCACATCTTTTATACTGGCCAGTAAGCACATTTTGCTCCAGAGGGAGACATCATCTCTTCTTTCTGAGGCTGTTCACTATACAAACAGCCTTGGAAAAATGGTCCAACACGAAGTCAATCGGTGCCTTTGCTCAAGAGACATGCAGAAACACAGAGATCCTCAGACAATTGCCTTCCAGCAACCATTATCCATATCCATGAACTGAAGTCCCAAGTTATTTGTCTGTTACTGCATCCAATGGAAGACGCTGGATCCATTTTCATCAAACATAGCAGGAAAGTTAAAGGTTATCTGACTCAAAATATGGGCCAGATGACTTGTAAAGGGACCTCTCAGGAAAGTCATCTTGGCTGGTCCTGAGTCCCCCTTTAGAGTTGTTGAAACAGAAAATCAAGAGCTTGAAGGGCTGCAGCTCTGGGCTTGAGTGAATATATGAAAGATCCGGTGACTAAAATAGCAACTGGAAAGCATGAGGGTGGGTGCTGGGTGTTGATAGACAGGAACCTGCAACCTGCGGTTTTCAGTTCTCCTAGACGTCTGGCAGTGTGACTCCGAGAGTGATGCTGCCATCCACAAAGCATGCCCTGGAGTCGTGCAAGGGCCAGCCCTCTTGACTGTGTGGCACTAAGAAAGGCCTCTTGTCAGAGCTAGATGAGCAGCATCAGTCTCATCATCGCATTATATATTATATTCCTGGACTTCAAAAAGGACCGGAACCTAAAGCAACTGTGCAGCCCATCTCTCCTGCACCTCAGCCCAACAGAACCCAAACCATGGCTCCCTTAGGAGCAAAGCACAAGACTTCCAAGTAGACAGAGGGCCGGAAATGCAGGAGACAAACTCACTTCTAAATTCCAGCTCATCTCGCATCCCCGTCCCGGAACTACCTTGGGTCCTGCATTCATCTTCTCTGATCCTTAGTTTTCTCACCTGTAAAACAGGGACACTTGCCCCAAGGACACACCAATAGTTGCTCTGAAGGCCAAAGTAAGGGGAGAGTGGAGAGGGCATCGGCATCCGTTCAACATTCATCCTCAGGCTCTCCTTGCTGCAGAAGAGCTCTCCCCACTTCACGGATAAGGAAACTAAGGCCCAGAGGTGACCTAGGTCTGGATGGTCTCAACATTGACGAGTCTGACGTTACTCCTTGAGTGAGGGGTTTAGATCACTCCCCGCAGGGCCCTGCCTAGCTGAGAAGCCGAGTGAAGAGCTGACCAGAGGGGAACCAACCAGGTTTGACCAAAGCAGCCAAGGACAGGCTGAGCTTGACTGGCAGGACTGCAATGCTCAGGCACCCAGCCTGGGGACTGATCAGAAGAGAAGCCCCAACCCTACAGAAAGGAACTCAGGCCTGAGCAACTTCTGACCCACTGGGCGCTTGGCTGCCCTCCACAGCCCCTCCAGGCCCCAGGGAGATGTTCCACAGATGGGGGCAACCTTGAGGAACGGAGGGCAGGAGCAGGTGTGGCCCACCCAAAGCCTCGGAGGCGGGGCCAGTGGGGGCTGCAGTGGGAGGTGGTTGAACTCTGGATCCCAACCACAGCAGGGCAGTTGGCAGATGCCATTCTGAGGATGATCCTCAGAGGTAACAACCTTGGAGAGGATCAGGCAGTGGGGACAGGGACCAGAGAAGACTCAGGCAGAAGATGGGGCCATTAGGATGGCCACTGCCAGCAGGAAGGACCAGGGGCACCTGCCAACAGCACATGCTCCCTCTAGGGAGCCCACGCTGAAGATCAGACCAGAGATGCCTTTGACCCTGAGGGTGGACGAGGCCCACAACAGGCCAAATAGGCCATAAGGACCCCAGGGGCCAGAGATCTGGCCCCAGGCAGCACTGGCCCCTGCTGCTGCTGGGCCTGGTCGTGGACACCCATGGCTTGATGCCCCTGATGGTAATACTGTGGAGCAGGGCTCCAGGCCCCCAAGACGTGGCAGGAAGCGGCCTTCGGATCCTAAGGGACAGGTAAGGAGCCAGCATGTCATGGGGGAAGGATGAGAAAAAGCGAGCAGAGGCCTGGACAGACGTTGACTTTATTTAAAGTTGACATTTTTATCCAGTATAGATTTGTTTGCATTGATTTTTATTTTTTAATAGTGTATTAAAATATTACTTATCTCGATGACTGAGTCTTTTGGCACCTCTTGTATTTTGCACCTCAGACCAGTGCCTCACTCACCTCGTCATGGCCTTCTGGGTAGGGCAGATATAGGGAAGTAGGGGCAGGGCATACCCAGCAGGCACTGTTTTTCATTTTAGGGGCAGACTCTCCTGGTCAGTGTTCCCACAAGGTCCTGCTGTCTCAGACGGAGATAAAGGCCCAGAGAGGTGGCCGCAGTCCCACTCTGGGCCTGAACGCTGTGACCTCACCAGCGTGTCTTGCGTCTTAACAAAATGGTCCAAGAGAAGCAGTGGTCTGCAAGGCGTAGAGAGAGGGGGCTAGGGCTTGGCTTGGTCTCTCCTCCGCTCCCCGACTCGTTCATAAATGTTTCCCTGGGCCAGGCCTGGGGACGCAAGGTGGGTAGAGCTGAATCAAGTGAGTCATGTCCAGACGAGGGAACAGACTCATGGGCCATTTTAAGAGCAGTAAAGAGCGAGGGATGTGCCCACGCTCGTCTTACAGATGGAGGGGTGCTGACCGATAATGGGAGTGCTCCAGGCAAAGAGAGCGGAGAGAGAAGAGCGAGGTGCGCATGCGTGGCAGAGAGCTGGCGGCAGAGCTGGGTCTCAGACCACCGGGGTCTTGTGGGCTCCATATTTTATCTTAGGGTCCAGGAGAAGTTGTTGAGAGATTTCAGTAAAGGGCTGTTAGAGTTGGATTAGTGTTTTGGAAAGACGGCTTCAGATCGGAGATTGGTGTGAGGCCAGATGAGAGGACAGAGAAGGGGCAGTGGCCGAAGCCTGAGGCTTGGGCACCGGGCGGAGGCACTGGTCCGTGCGGGCACCAGGTCCAAGATTAACATTGACATTGCCCAGTGAATTTGAAGCGATGGTACCGGAGAATTGATGGGGAGGAATGGGCACCCTCATGGACTGTTTATAGAAGTCTAAAATGTACAACCATTTTAGCAATATCCAAGTCATAAAAGAAAGCGTATTTGTTTAAATTGTGTAATTCCACTTTTAGGAGTTCATCTTGGTGGGGGGGATAATCAAAGAAATAACCAAAGGTTTACAAACAAGAATAATGAGTTCAACATTATTAATGATGGGAGAAAATTGGACATAACCTAAATATCCAGCCAAAAGAGTGTGACTAAATACAGTATGGAGCGTCCATCAAAGGGATCTTACACAAATCTCCAAAATTATGTTCCTGAAGCATCTCGAATAGGATGGCAAAATCCATTTTTAAAAGGATACATACGGTGCCAAATATACAGAATGCTTTTCAGTTAGGTATTTTTAAATATGTGCACATTTTCAAAAGTTTATCAGAAAATATAGAAAAATGTCAATGGTGAGTCTCTGGCTGGTGAAATTTCACCGAATTTTAATTTTTGTTTCATGATCATCTGTAGTTATGAAAATATTTACAAGAAGGTTTATTTCATTTTTATTTTTTAAAATAATTTTCAATACAAGAGTAACATGTACTTGTAAAAAAAAAAAAAAACGATTAAGCACAGAAGCACGTAAAGTAAAAATTGAGTGTCTCTGCTTACCATTTCTCCACACCTTACCCTAAAACCCATTCTCCAGAGACAGCCACTGTCCGGTTGGTCTATACACTTCCAGCCCTTCTCCAATGTGTGTATGTCCCTGAAAACACACACACACACCTCTAGTTGGTGGTGGGATTTTCTTTTTCAAAAATGAAATACTACTCTGCATATTATCCTACAACGAGCTCTTAAACAACCTGTTATTGACGTTTTCTATAACAGTTTATAGGGACCTCCCTTGTTCTTGTTATGGCTTTGTAAGAATTCAAAGTTTGGATGAACCAGAATACATTTAAGCATTCTCCTATTCAAGGACATTTCAGTTGTTTCCAGTTAAAAAATATAATTTTTTCCACTGCAATGCCACAGTGGAAATCTCCATGGGAGTAAGCATATGCCATGTGTGCATGTACAAAGTGCACTTACGTTATTACCATAGGATAGATGCCTAAAAGTGGAATTGCTGGATCAGAGAGAAGGTGCTCTTGGAATTTTCTTAGGTAGTGCCCAATTGCTCTCCCAAAAGGCTGTTCCAACTCACACTCGTTACAGTGAATGATGGTGCTCTGTCCTCCACATCCTTGCCAATAATGTGATATTGTTGATCTTTTTTTATTTTGCCCATGTGATGAGCAAAAATGAGAGTATGTTTGTTGTTCATTTATTTGATCATTGATAAAACTTATTTCCCTTTTATACTTTTGTTGACTGAGTTTATTTCTTTTGTGAATTTACTGGTCATAGTTTTGCCTGTTTTTCTATTCAGTTGGTTGTATTTTCTTATAAATCTATAGGAACTCTTCATATATTTGAGATATTAACCCCTTTGTCAAGGATATATGTTGTAAATATTTTTCCCTGATCTATTTTATGCCTTTTGTTAATGGGGTCTTTCACTGTAAAGCCATTTTTAATTTTATTGTCAACTTGGTTTAACTTTTTTTTTAATGGTTTCGGTGATCTGTGACAAGCATAGAGGAGGAATCTTTATTTCAATATTACAAGTTCATTTTTTCTATTTTATTCTGGTACTTTTATTGTTTTGGTGTTTGTTTTTATTTCAACTGCAGTATATTTTTGTGTATGTAAGGATATAATTTATTTATTTTCCAAATGGTGAGCCAATAGTCAAGTATTTGTTGAATAGAAATGCAGTTTCTATCACTATCAAATACTAAACTATTGATTAATCACTTTCTCTCTTTGGTTCTAATGACTTAATGATCAATTCTTGTATTCATTCCACCCTGTTTTAATTATTTTACCTTTACAACATGTTTTGGTATCAGAGGAAGAATCCATTATTATTATTATTTTTCAAAATACCTGTATTCTCTGTCATTAGTCTTCTGTTGGACTTGAGAATCGATTCACTCATTTTCAAAAATCATTCCTTTGGTGTTGCGTTTGTAATTTCATGGCATATATGAATTAATCTGAGAAGAATTGACATCTTTGCAGTGCTCAGCATTTTCTTCCAGGGGTATGATATGCTCCCCACTAACTCATTATTGTATTCTGTCCATTAGTCAAGTTGTTTTATATCTCATTCATGGAAATCTTGCTCATTTTCTGTTGTTTATTTTTTATGCGTGTTTGGAGTTTTTAAATATAATTTTTATTGAAGCTGTAAATTTTTTCTCAACTTCATATCTTAAATGGTTACTGCTGTGTAGAAGAGAAAACTACTGGTTTTTGCATGTTGCTCTTGTATTAGTTCTAATAGTTCTTCAGCTGATGGTCTGGGGGTTTTTCAAAGTAGATTATCACATCATCTACAAAGAGCAATGCTCTCTCTTTTTTCCTATTACTTACACCTCTTTTTCCCCCCATCTCATTTCATTGGCTAGAATCTGTAGAATGTGTTGAATAATGAAAGTGAGAGTGGGCAACCTGGACTTTAAGAAATGTGAAAGTTGCTATGAGTTAGGTGAAAGTTGAAGAAGTTTCCTTAAATAATTAACCTGATAAAAAGGCTGGGTGTTTGCGCTCTTTAAATCAGAAGCAAGTATTGAATTGATATTGCTATTATATTAAGTTTTGTTTCAAAAACCTTATGTGCACATCTTAAATACAACTGTGACCAAATGGCCCTGCTACTGAGGTGAAAAAAATACTGGCCCCAAAGTAACATGTTACCTTCCAATTTAGATAAACCATATTGGGAGATGAAATCAGGTTTGGCAAAGCCTAATAATTCTTGCCATCATAAACTCTTAGAGTGTAACTTGGTGTTTCTGTTTCTTTGTCTAAGTTTTTAATGATATTTTTGTATTTTGGTAGAATGTCTAAAACATAGAGGGTGATTTAATGAGGGGAAAGCATTCTGGGACAACTCCAGGCCTCTCTGGCTTGGAGAGAAATCGGCTGAAGTGAAGACAATACAGGGCAATGTGAGGTGTTTCAGTGGGGCCTGTTGAGTTTGAGGTTCCTGTAGGGCATTCAAGAAGAGTTCAGGAGGCAGAGCCCATGTGAATCTGAGCCAAAAAAAAAAAAAAGAGGCCAGGGCTGGAAATAGAGATGGGAGACCCCTGGGCAGTCGCTGAAGTATACAGTGTGGGTCACAGACAGAGAGAGTGGGAGAGTACAGGAAGAAGGGGATTATAGGTGGTGGTCTTGGAGTCAGCAGCCATGCAGGGGCTGGGGAAAAAGGGAGGGGGTGAGTGGGTAGTCTCAGATGCCAAGGGGAAGTCACCAGAAAGAGGGACCTCTTACAGAGACATCAGGGGACTGGGGAGGAACATGGGACTTGACCAGGATGAGGGTCTTGTTGGCTTTGACCTGAGAGGTTTCAAAGAAGGATGAGAGTGAAAGCCAGGGGGACCCAACCATGTCCCGGCACGTGAAACAGTTGGGAGCCATTGTTGGACAAATGCACAGATGATGGATGGATGGATAGATAGATAATGGATAGGTGGGTGGATGGATGGATGGATGGATGGATGGATGGATGGATGGATGGATGGACAGGTGAAGACAGTGGTCTGAGAGATCAGAAAAGGCTTCATGAAAGAGGTGGAACTGAACTGTGTTTCAATGTGTGGAGACAAAGGGGGAGGGTGTCTCTGTGGGGGACCACCATGAGTCAGAAATGACCCTGTGTCCATAGGCCCAGGGAGGACGTTCATTTAGCTGGAAGATGGGAAACTATGGAGAAGGAGCACTCAGAGGCCCCAAAATGAGGCCCCACCCAGGTGTGCCCTGGCCTCTGGGGACTGACTGCCCACCAGCCCCACCCCAGAACATAGCTCTACTTGGGCAGCCCTGCACCCGTCAAGCCCAGCAGCTTCCTGCTGCAGACTGGCCCCCAGGGAATAGGCCCCAAGTGTTGGCCTGGCCGGTTTTAGTCTGAGCCTCAGTCACTGTGGTATTTCTTCGGTGGAGGGACCAAGATCACCGTCCTAGGTAAGTGGCTCTCACCACCTTTTCCATCCTGTCTCACCCCTCTGTTGTCTTGGGAAAGTCACTCTTCTCTCTTTGGGCTTGCTTCCTCTCTGCTTTCCCAGCAGACTGATCCCCACCTTTCTCTGTGGAGTCTGGGGAAGGCAGGTTGGTCTCCGTGTAACCAGCAGGAAGGACCTCAATGGCAGGAGCCCCTCCAGAGGTTGACAGTGGGATGTAGTCAGGTCCCAGGGGCCTGGGCTGGGGTTTTAGTCCTAGAATGGGTCTCCTTCACTTCCTCCAGGGCAGATGCCCACATGGGAGCTAGGACTCCTTCTGACAAGGGGCACTGGGGGAGATTAGAGGCAATCCTGAGCCCCTCAAAGTCTGGGCTCAAGGCATGATGCCCATCTAAGCTGTGAGGGTCACACAGGAGGAGGCCAGGGCAGGGCTGGGGTTATGACCCATGGAGGATGATGAGAGGGGTCCTGCTCACTCTAAGCTGAAGCTCTCAGGGCCTCTGCTGGGCCATGGGGACATGGAAATGCAGAGACGTGGGTGAGATGGGGCGAGCTGGCTAGAAACCCAGCCCTCCCAGGATGGTGGTCAGAAAAGAGTGAATCGCATGGGACAGAGACTCCTCTGACCCTGCAGCCCCGTGACGCCTGGGGCCCAAGTGTCCCATCTATCCAAAGGTCAGCCTCCCACAGAGTGTTAGATTCAGAGGATGACAAATAGGGGAGTGAAGTGGGGCCTCAGCTACACGGCTGCCTGGTGAAATCATCGGTTGTCAGAGGTACTGGGGTGGCCATGGGGCTGCTGTGCCCATTGTGTGGGGGAGCGGCTCCAAGAACTCAGATTCATTTAAGGGACCTGGGGTCAGTGCACAAGGAATAGGGAAAATGGGCAGAGCCACAGTGGAGCCCTGGGGTTTGGGCTGGGAGGACACAGTTCTCACTGGAGAGCTGAGGCCAGGGAAGGGGCAAAGCCAAGTGCCCAAGGGAGGCTGGGAGGCTTCAGGCTCCATTGCATGCTGGGCTCAGGCACGAGGCCTCCCACTCTCTGCCATTATCATCCTGGCCCATCAGGTGGGGGACCTTAGACCACAAAGGAAGCACCAGGCTCCAGAAGAATAAAGTGAGTTAGTGGTCTGATGCTGGGCTGGGGGCATGGGAGGTCAGGGCTAGACTCCCACCCAGAGTCTGGAAATCAGAAGGAGGGAGGACAGTCTGCCCTGGTTACACTTGGGGAAATTGAGGCTGCATATGGCAGGGCTTGACAGGGTCACCTGGAGAAGATGACTTAGAAGAGGTTCTGGAAGGGTGGGAAGCTATTTGCTGTTCAGGGGCTGAGTGGAAAGGAGGGGACAGAAAAGGAAGGTCACCAGGGAGATTAAGATCAAACACCTGCGAATGGTCACAGAGGCTGTGGATTAGTGGGGACTATCCCGACACCGCGATTCTCCTTACATCTAACACCCCCTCTTCTATCCACACAGGTCAGCCCAAGTCTGGGCCCTCAGTCACTCTGTTCCCACCCTCCTCTGAGGAGCTCAGTGCCAAAAAGGCCACACTGGTGTGTCTCATCAATGACTTCTACCCCGGCACCGTGACGGTGGCCTGGAAGGCAGATGGCAGCACCGTCACCCAGGGCGTGGAGACCACCAAGCCCTCGAAACAGAGCAACAACAAGTACGCGGCCAGCAGCTACCTGAGCCTGACGCCTGAAAGCTGGAAATCTAAGAGCAGCTACAGCTGCCAGGTCACGCACGAGGGGAGCACCGTGGAGAAGACTCTGACCCCCTCACAGTGTTCTTAGGACTCTCCGCTCCCCACTCTCGGGGGCCGTCCTCAGCCAGATACCCCTTCCCCCAGTTCTCCACTGTACCCCTGAGACCCCTGCCCAGGATCAGCTCAGAGTGGGGAGCTCCACTCTCTTCCCATGTCTATATCTCTTCAATAAAGATCTAATCATTTATCATCTGACATTTCTGACGTGCATTCTGCGTCCGGCTGAGTCTAGGTTAAAGGGTCAGTATTCAGGGGCCACGGGAGTTATGACATGAGATTCCACTACTCGTCATTCACTCAACCAGTCCACCAGGGACCAGGTGACATCTGAGTACTGGTGAGAGCCATGACCCTCAACAGGGACTTATCCTGCATGGACGGCCCTTGGGATGCAGTCCTTGCCACCTGGGAAGGGAGAAGGGCTGAGTGAGCGGGATCCAGGGGACCCTGAAGGAATCAGGGAGAAATGAGTAGGATCCCAGGCGAGGCTGAGGCATAGAGGCAGTGGGTTTCTGTTCAGCTGTTTGTGGGGTCAAGGTCAGTCTCAAGGTTACGCTATCGGGGGGCAGGGTCCTTAATGATGAAGAGAGTCAATATCTGACGTTGGGTTAAGGAGAGAATGTATGGTTGATTGATGAATGGAGCAGATCATTTCAGCCCACATGAGAGAGGATGCAAGAAAACCTGGTCAGTGGGAAAGGGCACCATCCTGGGCACAAAAGGATGTTAACGGTCATCTCTAGGACAGAGATCAATTCGAATTCAAGAGCAGAGCTTGGCGGGGTCAGACTCTCTCAGGCCAAAGTGAGTGTGGCCTCAGGCTACAGCAAGGTCAGGCTTCTCAGGTGACACAATACCCCCAGGGCCCCTGTCCACAGGCCCCCTTTCCAACTTGCTCACTGTGTCTCAGCCCCAAGTGCACCTGCAGCTGGTGTCAGAGACATGCTCATCCCCAGGTTCCTCAGGCGGGTGAGGTCGGCTCAGAGAGGTACAGGCCCAACAGGCTGTCAATGCACAGCTCCAGGACTCTCTCAGGCATCGCTGTGCGAGCCTCCAGTTCATCAGGGACACGGAGCTGCCTTCACCAGAGCCGCTGGGCAGTGGGGACAGTCCAGGGAGCTCTGGAGCCACAATGCGGCAGAAGAAGGAGCTCCGCTAGGAGCTTGCTGGCAAACACCCCTGCCCAAAATCATGACCTAAGAAGTGGAAGGATTAAGGTGTTCGAGTGTGCCACAGCATCTGCCTGACCCTGACCCTGATCATGAATCTGAATGCTGAGGCTCCTGTAGGGAAGGGACCCGCCAGGTCTCCCTCATCTCAATGGCCCTGCTGGTAGAATGCCAGAATCTAACCACCCCTGATGCTGCCCCTACTCTAACCTCCCATTTATTTTCTTGTAAGTTTTTAGCAAGGAAAAATGAAAACACAAAAACAAGGACACAGAGGAATAAGAATACCCAGACATTCCAATGAACTAGGTCCCAAAATAATCAATTCATTGACAATGCTGACTCATCAACAATAGAATAGCTCGTCTCTTATGCAATATATGGGAGCAAATTCTGATAGCATATCTCTTCATCTGTAAATATTTCATCTGTTTATCAGGACAAAAGAGCCTAAAAAGTAACTAAAATACCATTATTAAACAAACAAAAATTATGACAAATATATTAACATTCGTAAATAGTTGTTTTCTCATCCAATGTCTCATATATGTCCTAAGTGTATTTATCTGGTTGTATTTAAGTGCTGTTGCTATTTGGGGCTTTTTCATTTTCTTTATATATGAGGATTAAATAAGGTTCAACATTGTGATTGGTGGATTTTGGGTCTGTAAGTATCTCCCAAATCGCTCTAGCTTTTCCTTGCAAAGAAATGGCTGCAAGGACTGAGCTACT